TCTATAGCGACCACTCTAGACAACCCTGTTATCAGCTGTGTGATACATCCACCTGTCTATACAGACCACCCTGTCTATAGCGGCCACTCTAGGCAACCCTATTATCAGCTGTGTGATACATCCACCTGTCTAATTGTCGAAGGTATTTTCGATGGTAGTGGGAGCTGCAAAGAAATCGTTACTTGTGTTGGTTCTGAGGCGCGTAGAAGCTTAGAGTAGTAAGAGATCTCTTTGCCTCGCTCGGTGTGGGAAATTTGAACATTGTTCAGTTAGTTCACTGCTGGTCTGGCTTGAGACATTTTCCCTCATATTTTAATTTTCAGATAGAATCTTACTTATTAATAAAATCAAATGAACAAGAGAGTTTGATAAAATTCGTGATTTATTATTTTAAACATTTGTACAGTTATTCACAAATGTTCATTTGTGGTAAGATACTATTCCTTCAACTTCAAATTACTGAGGGGACCAATTAAAATTGATTTTATTCAAATTATCTAGTATTTTTCAAGGGACGGGAAAACATTTCAAATTATCGAGAAATTCAAATTATCGGGATTTGACTGTATATCAATTCTTTAAATTAAAGAACTGTTGGAAAGCTAAATTTTCCAAAAATAAATATATATTTGCGTAAAAATATTTATATATCTTGATGTTAATAAATATTTTGATCTCATATTAATAATTCAATGCATTAATTTATATCTATTTTCAAATATATTTCAATTTCATAAAGTGCAATTTTGATATGAATCACTGAGTATATAAATATTAAATTTAAATTTTGACTAATTTTCCATGCTTACACTTTTGTTGCACGGTTTTTGTTTTTCGGTTTGCTTTTACATCTTTTTTAGAAGTTTAAGTTTATTATAATCAATACTTAAATACAAGTGGAATGGCTAAAATGCTAAGTAGTCTTTTAAAGAACCCTAGCTCGGGATCATTGGGAGCAAAATTGCTCATTGCCGCTGGTGGTCTGGGTTATGCTGTAACTCAATCGGTTTATACAGGTAATTTTATTATTATTATTATTATTTTTTAGTGTAACTATCGAATTCAATAAGCTTGTAATAACGTAACAATGTTTTAAATATTTTAAGTATTCATACAAAATAGTCTCTTTCACAAAACAAATAACATACATTTCTAAAAACATGTAAAAATTGGTGCAATCTTAATACTATTATAATTTTTAAAAAATCTGTTACACAGATGTGTTCCATGCATATGAGTGCATTATAATTTGTATTCATTATATCTAAAACCTTCCAAAAGAGAATATAAAGAAAATGCATAGAAGGAAATGGTTTAACTAATGTTTGTTTTGGAGAATTAAAAAAACATGGTAGTTTCATGGGCACTCAAATACATTTATTTATATTCACATTGGTGAAATATTTATATATATAAATACAAAGCTAAATATGAACCTGTTTGTATTTCTAATATAGAAATGTACATTTATGATGTTTAGAATTTATGGCAGAAAACACTTTCACATATCTTTACAATTCCCCTCATTGTTTATATCATTAATTGCCTATTCATATGAATCAGATTTTAATTTTGATTTGCATATTTACTATAAACAAAGAAGACTATTAGTTTCATAATATGTAAATCGTGATAAATCAAATTATTCAAATTTGTCAATAAAACAAGGTATTATAAATATGATAAGGCACAATTTGGATTATAGATTAGAAACACAAGGTAATAAGACCAAATCCAAATAAATAATTAGTGTGTGACCTTTCGGTAATAGCATAATAAGACAAATCCAAATAGTGTTACTGTTACCAAAACGTCACACACTCTTTATTTATTTGGACTTGGTCTTATTACCTTGTGAAAGTATAAATCTTTTCATGTAATTGTGATAAAGCATTTTTGTTTTTCTTATGAGTGTCCACTCAAAGGTTCTGCTGTAACAAGCTTTTTGAGTATATATATATTATAGAAAAAAAAATTCTTTTAATTATCTTGAGGGTTATGCTATGGTAATATTATTTTATAAGATTGAGATTATGATCTTGAGATTTGATAAATTTTGGAATATATTAGTATTAGGTTAATGGCATTGGTATGTAGTCGTGGTTAAAAAATCTTGAAAGAATAATAAATAGTTTTGATCAGATATTGCTTTAATTGAACTTATGGAATATATAAAAAAAAAACATAATTTGATTAAAGTACTGCCTGGCTTGAAACGTAAGAATAAAAAAATGGAAAAACTTATTTACATAATGTACAAAAGATTTGAGCCGGCCAGCGGGAAACAACAACAATGAGTCCTTATAGGGGAAGCGTGACCTCTGGCGGTCGATTTATCAGAGTATTTGAATCTATGAAATTATAATTTTAAATAAAATAATATTTTAATATAACATATATGTGATAAGATCCTGTCGACTAATCTGTGATAAGGTCCAGTCGACTTATCTGTGATGAGGTATCCTGTCGACTCTCACTATAGCTGTGGTAACCGAGGGTCAAACCTGTAGTAACCGAGAGGGACAGTCAGGGCGTGGAGAGTTTTCCAGTACCTCTCTGCACTTTGGAAGACCTTTAACAGTTCTCACAGAGTACAGGCAGTCGTGGTCGAGGCAGAGTGGAAAGCTTGGGAATGTCCACACACCAAAAACAAAGAGACACAGTTGTAGTAGGAAAGTTCCATGAACAGATAAAAGTCGAGCTGAGAGCAAGATGGAGATTTAAAGAGTATTTCTTACTGTTTTACACGGTGATGAGGTGGTCCTGGCTAAGACCGACAAGGGCTCATGCCGACGGTGAAGTGACTGTCTATATTCGGCTAAAGCCGAGGTTTTTATATACCACTAGCCAAATGACCCGGTGGCGTGATCGTAGCCAACCAATAGGAGGGCGCCATTCCAAAAAAAAAGCAAACAGTGACAGAGATGACTGATTAAGAGATGAAGAATGACGCTCGTAACTGTATATAGAATATTCCCGAGGAGGGGGGGGGAGTTGGACTTTGAACGTCTGCACCCTTTGACCTTGATGGCAACGGGCTGCCAAATTCCTCTTCAGGGTTGTTGGATTTCTCTCTCGATTTTAGACGTTTTTGAACTTCTCAATCTTGCTTTAACTCAGCTCTTAATCTATTACATAGTTTTATTTATTTATCCTCAGTTTGTACAAAGTACATTACATATGGTGATGCAATGACACATGTCAATCATGCGTATAATTATTTATAGATGTGTTTCTATATACAACATGACAATCTTGTTATAAGTAGTATACAATATAGGGTTGTTGGTTTAAATTACCATATATATATGTTATACATTTTCAACTTATCCCTTTATTTGGGTTAAAGGAGTCTTGGTCTTCTGATTTTGTATATAGTTGTTGTTTTTTTTAATTATTATCCCTAGTACATGTAGTACAGGCCATGATAATCATGCTGGGTAGAAGTTGGCAACTGCTTTTTACTGTAAGTGCACCACATGTCTAAAAATGTTAAAAGCAGTTTAACTTTTGCACTTACAAATGTGCCAGAGCCCCGTTTTTTTTACTTGTACTCACTGGTGGTGTTGGACTTTTGCAAGAATCTTGGGCCATTGGAGCATTTTTTTTTTTTTTTTATTAGAAAAAAAAGTGCCCAATGCAGGATTCGATCCAGGGTCGTAGTGGTCAAAAACCAATGGTTTAGACCACCCTTTCAACGACCATATATTTTTATATAAAAAAAACATAAGTAAGCAAATTTCACTGTAATAAAATTATAAGATTTTAAAATATGTAAAATAAATTTTAGCACATATATATATATTTTTTTGAAAATAGAGCAATCCATAAATAAATTTTTAAATAAAAAGGCATATATTGAATCAAAATATCATTTATTTTTACCAATATTTCAGTTTGCTGAACGCCAACCTTTATCAAGGTGTTATAACATATTTAATGTGTGTCAACAACAAACTCAGCGCCACATAACGTCAACAGAATTAAGTTTAAAAATATTTTTTTGCTTATATTCAATGGGGAGGGGAAAAAATTGATATATAAATTTATATTATGGACACACTGTATTGACTCATCCATTGATGAGCTCTACTCTTCCCCGGCAGACACCATCAATATATACCGGGGGTCGGTGGAAGGCTGGTTAAACCTCTTGGTTTTCGACCACTACGACCCGGGTTCAATTCCCGCATTAGACACTTTTTTTTTTCTGTTTAAAAAAAATGCTCCAATGGCCCCACCAGCGAGTGCAAGTAATTTGTATTTTTCTTCTATTTCAAAATTGTCAATGCAAAGATATTCTATTAAATAAAAGTATAATGTGTAAAAATTGACACAAGAATGGAAATGAAAACAATGCCGCTAAATTTTTGTTTTGAAATAGATTTTATCAATTTGGGACCGAAAATAGGTTCGTTATAGGGGTAGTTTGTTATTTTAAAAATCGCAAAGTTTGTTATAACGATGGTATTTTCAATGGAATGGAATCTGGAATAGACGTGGGTTCGTTATAAGGGAATGTTCGCTATATCCAGGGTTTGTATTAGCGGGGTTTTACTGTATATTGGATCAAAATATCAATTTTACCAATATTTCAGTTGGCTGAAATATTGGTAAAATAAATTATATTTTGATCCAATATATATGCCTTTTTAATTAAAGATTTATTTATGGATTGCTCTATTTTCAAAACGATATGTAAATGTGTGTATATATATATATGGTGTTAGATAAGCAGAGTGTTTGTTCTAGTGGAGGGAGGTCACCGCGCCATCATCTTCAACAGAATTGGAGGTGTCCAGAGTGATATCTATTCTGAAGGACTCCATTTTAAGTAAGTTGACACCTTTTCTGGGTAGGTTTAACTACCTATCTTAGAAACATTAGATTGACTAATAAGATCAAATTGTGTGTGACTCTTCATCAAACAGCATTGTTACCATCATCAGACAAAAGTACTAACTGGTAAGACCAAATCTAAATTAGTGTGTTTACTACTGGGGGGTTGTTTGAAGGCTGGTTAAACCGTTTGGTTTTCGACCACTACGACCCGGGTTCGATTCCCGCATTCGACACTTTTTTTCTGTTTAAAAAAAAAAAATTCTCCGATGGCCCCTGATTCTTGCAAAAAGTCCAACCCCATCAGCGAGTGTTAGTAACCAAACGTGGCTCTAACACATTTGTAAGTGCAAAGTCAAACTGCTTTTCACATGTGTAGACATGTGGTGCGCTTACAGTAAAAGCAGTCGCTAACTACCCACCATGATTATCATGGCCTGTACCACGTGTACTAAGGAGAAGCAAAAAAAAAAAAAAGTGTGTTTACTTTTGTACTACTTGTGTACTTTATGTTCATTACTTTTGTCTGATAACAATGCTGTTACCGAAAGGTCATATTTATTTATTGGATCTTATTTTCAGGTTTTTTTAATATTTTATCCAAATAGTACCTTATCAACTTGACCTTTACCTATATGACCATTAAAAAATGTCTCTGTCTATTGAATTGTTTTAAAAAGAAATGGGGCTTTTTATTTTTTTCCATTTAATTGACATACAGAAGAATTTCTCTGTAAAAGATGATGTGATAAAGCACAATTTGGATTATGTTGTTGTTGTGTCTTTTATCCCCTTGTGTAAAGATTACACGAATTCTATGATCTCATGGAATGGGGTGTAGGGGTGCAGCTTTCGTTGATTATGGCACCATGATCCATGATTTGGATTATAGATTAGAATAGTGAAACCAAATAGTGTTTGAAATTTCGGTAACAGCATGGTTACCATCTTCAGGCCAAAGTACTGACTGATGATTATAACCATGTTGTTACAGAATTGTCACCCTTTTATTTATTGGGATTTTGGTCTTATTACCTTTGTAATGATTCCATATGCAAATTTTATTCTTAAAGAAAAAATGCAGCATATATGTAGATATGTATTAATTATCTGATAGAAAATTAAATATGTAAAAATGATTGGATGTATATAGAGTGTAAGAGGAGAGTGAAAGTATCTTATTTATAGAAATAAATGGCTTATACCTTATAGTGTTCGTCAAGTGCTATTTTTGTTAGGTAGAGAACACAACAACCTTGTTGTTTCTTCTCAAGATATTCGTCAAAAATGGAATGTTTCTTTGCCGCTCCCAAGCCCGGATGAAAAAGGAGGAGGGATAGCTGTACTCCCCCAGGGACCTACAAAAACAATCGCCTACTTCTACCCACCTTGATTATCATCATCAAACAACAATATTTAGAACAGGCCATCTCAAGCCATTGTAGATAAAAAAATGATAACAAAATTTATCCCACTTGCCCAAAATGTAGTTTGGTACCTGCAGCTCCAGAACACCTTTTGGCTTGCATTAGATGCACTAAACAGGACCTTTGGGAGAGGCTGCTCTATATAGATTAGAATCAAAAGGTGACAATAGAGCAAATCCAAATGATTGAAATGTTTGTGACGTTTCAGTAACAACAATGTTAACGTCATCAGACTAAATACATGATTTTTTTTAGTACCGTTGTCTGACGATGGTAACAATGTTGTTACCGAAACCTCAAACATTTCAATAATTTGGTCTTGTCACCTTTTGTTTATATATCTATAATCCACATTGTACGTTATTAAACAGGACCTTTGGGAGAGGCCGCTGCTTATCATAAAACAGCTCAAGGAGCATGAACTCATGGAATTCGTGTAATCTTTACACAAGGGGATAAGAAACAACAACAATGATTATCATGACCACGTGTACTAGGGATAAGCAAACAACAGGGTACTTGTGCTGCTATAGGATCCCATGGCTCCAATACCCCATCATCTATGACATCCGTGCCAAGCCACGCAAGATTGCTTCTCCCACTGGAAGCAAGGGTAAGTGTTACTACCTCTCTTGTGTTCCAGCCTTTCTTTCTAAGAGAGTGGAACAAAGACCAAATTGTACTTTAGAAACTGAAAAATAGTACAAATGTGAAACTGTACTGGGATCAGGTAGATAAATTAAGAAAAAAGACAAGGGGGTTGGTGGAAGGCTGGTTAAACCGTTTGGTTTTCAACCACTACGACCCAAGTTCAATTCCCGCATTGGACACTTTTTTTTCTGATTTAAAAAAAAAAATGCTCCAATGGCCCCCCGATTCTTGCAAAAGTCCAACCCCACCAGCAAGTGAAGGTAAAACCAAACGGGATTCTGGCACATTTGTAAGTGCAAAAGCCGAACTGCTTTTCACATGTGCAGACATGTGGTGCGCTTACAGTAAAAGCAGTTGCTAACTACCTACCATGATTATCATGGCCTGTACCACGTGTACTAGGAATAATTGAAAAAAGAAAAGAAAAAAGACATATTGTAATTTAAGTAATATATGTAAGTAATAAAGTATGATGTCTTGCCACAGGACACCTGGGGATCCAGAGAGGGACAAAGAAGGGGCGTTGGTCCGGATGTTGACATTTAGTTAGGTTACAGTGGATATTTTCGGACAGGGCTCGCTCAGTGCTAGGTCTCACGGCAGCCCTCGTGGCTGCCGTTTTGGTTCCTCCCTGCCTCCGCAGCTTCATGCAAGACACCGAGCTTTCTTCATTTAATCCTCAACTTTCCCCTGGTTCTGGTGCCACTTGAGATGTACTAGGAGAGCGTCTTTTGATCCCAAACTTTGTTCTTACTGTCCCGTGCGGACTCTTCCCAACCTGCACGCCTTGCCACTCAACCCCGACTGCTTCCAACTCACTTTTTGTCTTACCCGGGTTTACGACAGACATCTCCTGATCTTTCAACTAAAAGTTGTTGATACCTTGCACTACCTATCGGGATAAATATCAACTTATCGTTGATTTTTTTTAATTATTCCAGAATTTGCCAAATCAATTATTTGTTAATTTTGATAGATGAGGCAAGACATATCATCAACTTTTAATTGCAACCGATGCCTTTTTTTCTTAATTTAGAGACTTTTTTTTATTGTTTGTGACACTTCCAATAATTTTTGTGACTTTTTAATAGGTGCAGCTCCCCACCACATTGAATGGCACCTGATAGGAAGAGGGTGTACACCAATTGGTCTAACTATTGCTATCAATTCTAAAGCTGCTAGCCACGTGGGTTCCCGTTACTACTATTTTTAATGGTGACCAATGAGTTTTTCCATTCATCAGTCATTTTGAGACTTTGTGACTTTTCAATAGGTGTTAACCCCCCCATCACAGGCTAGACCACTCAATATTTGTATATTGATGATTGGCTTCTCAAGCTTGAAATCCTAATATGATTGAGTGGAGATAAGAAAGAAAGATGATTGGTTCTTGTTTAGAGAGGGGGTGTACACCAAGGATGTTGTTGCTTCTTATCCCTTTAGGTAAAGATTACACAAATTCCATGAGTTCATGCTCCTCAAGCTGCTTTATGATAAGCAGCAGCCTCTCCCAAAGGTCCATAGGATAAATTGGTGTACCCATTTCAAAGTTTCCTATCACTGGCCATTCTAGAGACGCTAATCACGTTGGTTGCAGATCTCCAGATGGTAAACATCTCTCTGAGAGTCCTGGCTCGGCCCGAGGCCTCCAAGCTACCAACCCTGTACCGTATGCTTGGAACTGACTATGATGAGAGAGTACTGCCCTCTATTTGTAATGAGGTAAGTGATCTCTCCCTTTTTTGGCCATTCTGACCTTACTGCCCCCTTCTGAAGACCTTTCATAGGCATCTCTGGGTGGATTTAAACCATTCCTTGAGTCGCTCGCCCTGCCTCAGTGAAGAGGAGGAATATACAGAAAGTGGAGAACCCCTCCATTTTTTTCTCTGAAATTTGAATAATCATTCTGGCACCTAATCATAACCATCCAGCTCATTGGGGTTCTTCTTCTCTTCCTTCAGTTTTTCCCTTAACATCAACTTTTATAATTCATTTAGTCTCATTAGTTGTCTGAAATTGGGTTATAACATGGAGACCTTAGAATAGTACATGTCTATATATGTACCAGGCCATGGTGGGTTGTGACAGCTTGTACTGTAAGTACACCACATATCTACATATGTAGTACCAGGCCATGGTGGGTAGTGACAGCTTGTACTGTAAGTACACCACATGTCTACACATGTAGTACCAGGCCATGGTGGGTTGTGACAGCTTGTACTGTAAGTACACCACATGTCTACACATGTAGTACCAGGCCATGGTGGGTTGTGACAGCTTGTACTGTAAGTACACCACATGTCTACACATGTAGTACCAGGCCATGGTGGGTAGTGACAGCTTGTACTGTAAGTACACCACATGTCTACACATGTAGTACCAGGCCATGGTGGGTAGTGGCAGCTTGTACTGTAAGTACACCACATGTCTACACATATAGTACCAGGCCATGGTGGGTAGTGACAGCTTGTACTGTAAGTACACCACATGTCTACACATGTAGTACCAGGCCATGGTGGGTAGTGGCAGCTTGTACTGTAAGTACACCACATGTCTACACATATAGTACCAGGCCATGGTGGGTAGTGACAGCTTGTACTGTAAGTACACCACATGTCTACATATGTAGTACCAGGCCATGGTGGGTAGTGACAGCTTGTACTGTAAGTATACCACGTGTCTACATATGTAGTACTAGGTCATGGTGGGTAGTGACAGCTTGTACTGTAAGTACACCACATGTCTACACATGTAGTACCAGGCCATGGTGGGTAGTGACAGCTTGTACTGTAAGTACACCACATGTCCACATATGTAGTACTAGGTCATGGTGGGTAGTGACAGCTTGTACTGTAAGTACACCACATGTCTACACATGTACCAGGCCATGGTAGGTAGTGACAGCTTGTACTGTAAGTACACCACATGTCCACATATGTAGTACTAGGTCATGGTGGGTAGTGACAGCTTGTACTGTAAGTACACCACATGTCTACACATGTAGTACCAGGCCATGGTGGGTAGTGACAGCTTGTACTGTAAGTACACCACATGTCCACATATGTAGTACTAGGTCATGGTGGGTAGTGACAGCTTGTACTGTAAGTACACCACATGTCTACACATGTACCAGGCCATGGTAGGTAGTGACAGCTTGT